AGTGAGTGGCACACTCCAGTGAGAACAGTTGCACACCAAACCTGTTATCTTTTACCAGTATAGTCTGCTGCTCTGGAAAGGAAGCTAAGTATGTTCTGCTGAGCAGCTGATTTTTTACTTCTGTAACTTTCTTATGGACCATTCTTAGAATTAAACAAAGGGAAGAGGCTAAGTTAAGGTGTGAATAAGGTTTTCAGATTGGGCTTGTAGTTAAGATGGTAGTGGGAAGTCAAGCCCTTGATTTACGATGGAAAATCACTGGAACTGAGAGAGGAAAGTGAACTTCTGTACAGTTCTTTAAACTGTTTTGGTTTTTTTCTACTAACGGTTTCTAAATACGTTGGCTTTTTTCAGGAATGTTTGACAGTGCTGTAGGAGTAAGAAAGGAAAGAAATAAGTTACTGCAGATGTTCTAAATATGGGAAAAGAAAGGAGGACACTCTACGTATCCCAAGAGAGGAGGAAGCTTTAATGTAGTGTCAAGTTATTGGGGCATCCAAGTCAGAGAGAGTCACTGCTACATGCATCGGAGAGAAACGGTGAAGATAGTAAGAGTTAAGATTCCAGTGAGCCCGTTTCTGTAGAACGGATGTGACTGCTTGCTGGATCACAGCCTGAGGACTGTAAACTCAGAGTTTATCTGAATGTTCTGAGAATGTCACATGCGTTATGAACTGTTATTAGCCCTGCAATCGTTTATATCAGAATTGAGCACAATTGTGGTTACAATAAGAAAAGTGATGCTATTTTAACCTTTCTGCAAAAGTGCTAGTGTGCTGTCCATGACATAACTGTGGGAATAACTTGGAAGGGCTGAACTTTTTTTACTGGTGTAATATTCATTATCACAGAAATTTCCTTTGTGCTTGATTTTGTTTGTTGTCACTGCTAAAAGTCCTGAAAAGTATTTGTATGTTTGAAAATGAAACAAGCAACTGAAAAGCAGTCTTTCTGCAACTGAAGGAGATTGCTAGGTTGGTTAGCAGTAGTATTTTTTGTTGTTACTACCTCTGGTGCTTAAATGTAAAAGCAGTTTTAAAGCTTTGTTTAGATTGACTACATAGGAGTTTTTGACCTCATGTAAATAACAGTGGGTCATTTTACATCAAACTCCTGGCAAAACACAGTAAACAAACCTTTTTCAAGGTATAAACACTGAACAATTGGGTTGTTTACTCCTAAATATTTACTATGAAGGCTTTGGAAGCGTTTAAGAACTGGTTTTTCTCGTTTCCATTGCTGGTAGATACCCTCATAGGATCTCCTCTCAGTCCCCATTTTTCTTTGCACCCACCTTGTTTAAGCAGGAAGAGCTTAAACTAAGCCATAATCTTTTATCAGAATAAACCTTAGTAATGTTTTCAAAACACAGGCACTTAACTCTGCTCTCACTGTGACAGGTGAAGGGAGCAGGTGAAGTACTTGCTACACTTCCAGCAGCCCATTGCACAAGCCTGACTGCTGCCAAGTAAACATACAGTTTCATCAGTGTTATTATCTCTGATAACGCTCCTTATTTTTACTGCTGTTGCACTGGTTGAGATTATTTTTGTAAGAGCAAAGTATATAGTTCCAGTACATATGGATCTGTTGACAGCTTGCACTTGAAACTTATACAAAGGGCTGAAGGCAGAAACACCTGCAATTCTGCAAATGACTCTTGTCTTGAGGTTGAAAAAGTCTGTTCACTGATTCTTTCCACTGCAGCAAATTTTAACTTCAGTGAAGCTGTCATCAGTTAACAGTTCATCTGTTTATATCTGAATCACAGTGTGCTTTACCTCTCCCAGGCAAAACTAAACCTTGCAGCGTTTCAATGACAAGAACTTAAGATACGATCTACTTGCTACCTTTATTGCTCAAGCATAAATTGCCTGTGGTAAATATTTGATGTTTTAAGTTGTGTTTGAGGGCAGTAATATACCAAGTAATATACTGATAATACACTGACTGAGTTCAAGTGGGTCTAAAAAGAAATTTCAAGGGGGTCTAAAAAGAAATGGTGAAACTGGAAAAATACTTAGATTTTTATCACCATCACATAAATTCCAGCAGCTTATTGCTGCAATCAAATTTTACTGATTTTTAATTACTGTTCTTCACTTGATTACTTTCAACCAGAAATAATAAAGTACTAACCTGTCCTTGAGATTTGCACTTTTCTTTTTATAATAGAAACTTAAATATTCCTTTGAGAGAAAGTAGACCAAAACTGTGCCATTTTAAAGCCATTTATTTTTAAATCAACATTTTAAATGTTGGCCATGTTCATATATTTATATATAACATATATATATATATATCATATACATATATTCAACCCAGCTTCAGGAAAGAAGGCAAGAAGTGAGGAAAAAATGTATAAGAACAACTTTAATCTAAAATCCAATGTAATAAAAACGTATACTAATGATTAATAAAGTATGTCCCCAGAATGTTATTAAAATTCCTACTTAAAGGAACAAGTTCTTATGTAAAATGTAGTATCTAGTGCATTGAAGTGCAGATGAGGAGTGAAGCAGCATAAATAAAGAAATGTGAGATGATTACCATGTATTTATTGGCCTTGATTTCTAGAAACGAAGACTGATTTATGACTCAGTACGCTTCTAGCCATCACTTGTTTCTTCTGACATTTGGCACATTCAGATACTTACTGTCACAATTTAAGCATGGTTGAGCCTATTCATCTTTTTACCAGAATTGAAACTCTCAAAACTTGGTACAGTTTCACCATTCTAGGTGAAGGATTTGTGGATTTTTGTTTTGCCATATTCATACCACACAAAAGTGCTGCTTTTGAAGCACATCAGATAAAGTTTACACATCTATTAAGAAAACATTTGTGAATCCACAAAGAAGACCCAAAGGTCTTAAAGCATCAAGGTATTTTTACATCATGAAAATTTTTTCTATTTTTTTTTTAATGATTTAATTACTTTTATTTGATCTGAAAATTTACTCACCATATAAGGTTCCATGTATATATTTTTTCCTGTGGGTAAAAAACCTTCAGCTGGATATACATTACAGTCTTTTAGTCTATATTTGCTGACTGCATCTGTGAGTAAACACATTCCTTCTTGCAAAGACCCTCTCAGTGGTCAGTGAGGATGCACACAAGCACAGTTACCAGCCTGAACTTACAAGGTCCATCAGCTGAAACATTGTGTTTGTAGAGCAGAAGAAAGCATAGTATAAAATTGTTCTCTGATGATGTCTCTTCTAGCAAAGATATTTCTGAAATTGTTACAAAAAGCACTAGGCTTTTGTCATATGAATATTGCTGCATTTCTCTCTTTTCAAATTGGGTTATCCAGTTCAGCTCAGGCCTTCTAAGCACAATATCAATAACCTCTGCTACACTGACTTTAGAGGACTGTGACCTTTGAGTTCTCTTCTCAGTCTTCCATCACTGTTGGCAAATTGGAAATGTAATCTTTTTTCCCCAAACCCTGAGAGGATGGGGAGCTGGTGTTGGTGGGAGCAGTGGCAGGAGCACAACACAGGCAGCTGGCATAAGAAAAGCTGTTCTCATGCACTCCTTGTCTCTCTTGCACAGATGTCATCAGCTGACGGTAGGAGTAGCAGCAGCAGGATCACAGGGATGTATCTTACATGATTCACTAGGGTCCTGAGTTCATAAAAATAGCAAAAAGCACAGACAGTTTCCAATAAGAAGTAATCTCTAGGGTGTAATGCCCTGGAAGGCAAGTAGTCTTTTCTTTTGGAATTTTCCACTTATCCTCATCATGACATCTTTGCATTGCAAACACCAAGCTGTTCTGAGCATTCCCATGGCAAAACAACTCTGTGGTTTGCCATGTGCATGGGCTAATTGTTATAGACTCACTCCACTTTCATTTTCTTTGTATTTTCCTTACGAGACATGGAAAATAGAAAAACTACCCTTTAGCAAATCTATTTCCTGTCTTATTAAAGAAATCACCATTGACAGCTCTTCTCTCAGTCTCAGTAATATTGATTTACACTAAAAATCAAGCCTTCCCATCACTTCCCACCTATTACATTAGTTCTTGGGGAAAATTCTGGATTGTTATCCCTAGACAATGAAAAGACTTGTAAAGGCTGCCACCAGTGACTTTCTTATCTCAGTTGAAGCTGAAGAGCACAGCTGGGGTTATAGTGCTAGCTCAGACTTCATACTCGCTAAGGAGCAACTAGGATCTATGACAGTACTACACCAATTTCCAGCTTGAGAAGTCATTCAAACTGAAACCTCAAAGTCCTTCTCTATGTTTTATTACTTTGTATGTCACCATCAAAAGGAAAATTTTTCAAGTTCTCATTTAGACGCTTGTTCTGCAAATATGTATGCATTTGCATTAACGTGAATAATGACATCGAGGAAGGTCAGATTAATCACATAGTTGTGTTGTATGTATGCTTAGAAATTTCAGAACAAAATTAAATAAAGATTCGAAATCTCTGCCTTAGAGATTTGTGGCCCAGATAGCATCCATCATCTATATATATAGTATCAGTCTTCTGTCCTAACAACTGTTTTACATCCTTTGTACCAGTGGGATTCAAATGGACAGTTAAGGGCATATCTCTGTCAATAAATGACAAAAAGGTATGAATGATCATTTAGAACACAGCCATCAAGTTAGAAGATGGGAAATAGCTTCTGTTTAAGACAGCATTTACTATTTTCTTTTCAGCACCTTAAATACCTGCTTTCATTAGTATTTGAAAGTTTATTTTCAACAATTAAATCTTCTGATGTTATCAATACTTACTGAGACTTCAATAATAAAAGATACTGATCTGTATGCCAAGGAATAAAAAAATAGATAACTATAATAAAGAGAATATTGGTTGTGTAAGTCATATTGATAAAAATTTGTCCAACAAGTTTGATTCAACAGATTAATGTGCTACTGTCATTCTTGGACTCTGCTGCTAATTTTAGCTTGATATCATCCATTTTCCATACAAGCTTAAATATCAAAACCTTACCTTTACTCAGTACTTGTCAAAGTATTCTGTTGAGGAAATTACAAAAAAGGAAAGTTGTGAAGACTGTTGGTAGTTCTTACACATTAGATTTCCACTCAAAAAGTCTCACTTCAGTCTCAAAGCAGAATCTATTTTAAAGCCTGAATTGAGGTGAACTGGTTTCCTTAGCCAGTCTTGAGATTTAGCCAGGTGATCAGAAGCAATTATGTTAGTGTGATGTAAGAATCTCTCAGCTGCAACCTAATAACTGGCTGTGTGCACTGTGCACTCTTACAGTCTACTTTAGTACAAATAATACTGGTTCATTTAATCCACATTCCTATTTTAAGTACCTGTCAGCATTTTAAAGTGCTTTGCAAAAGCCTGCTTTACTTGCCAGAGCAACGGAGATGTAAGAGTGCACGTAGTTACTGGTATAGGCTGGGAAGATGATTACTTGCAGCTGGAGGCAATAATTTCCTGAAACTTGTAGCCTGATCCAATCCTGAAAATACTTTTATTTTAAAGTGAGGAGGTGGAGGAGGTCTTCCTTACTCAAATATGAAGCATCACATTAGATACATGATGAGCCTTTCATTTTCTGAATGACTGCTCAAGTTAGCTTGTGTTGTCTGCATTTGTCTGGATGTCTGTGGCTGTCTTTGGTTGTCTCACTGAGTGGATTTCAGGAACCAAGTGTTGTGTTGGGTCAGTGCCCTGAAGGTCAGCTTGATGCCTCTCTGGGGATCACTGGAGGCCACAGTTCTTCTCAGAGGGCTCTGGATGGCCCTGCCTGGTATCTTTACCAGCATCATCAGCTATAGGCCCTCCTTTGCTTCTGCAAGGAAAGAAAAACAGCCACTGGAGGTAACCTCATTTCTTCCAGTTTGTTTAAACAAAGCTCTCTTGCCCATTGTCTATGCTTAGTGGGATCCCTATCATAGAAATCATGTTCATGTTGTTAAGTTGTACAATGTTTGCTCATGGAATAATACAGCACGATTAAGTCTTTGGCCAACTTCTAGCTATATTCATCCAAATGATTTACTGCGTTTGGCTCTTTTGAAAGATTTTTTTGTGGCTATGTGTTGCTAGCAAAGCTTTTCTGGTTTTGGTACATGGACCATAATGGGAAAAAAGTTCTGATCCAGTAATACGATATTCCAGGTTGTCTACTATTACCTGTATTTTTTTTTTAAATAGAATAGAGATGGAATATGTGCATACCTATGAATCTTTTGGGAATCTTTCAAGATATACGATGATATTATCATTAGTAATAGCGAATCATAGAATATCCTGAGTTGGAATGGATCCATAAGAATCACTGAATCTAACCCCTGGCTCTGCACAGGACCACCCACCCAAAAAAAAAAATCAAACCCTATGTCTGAGGGTGTTGTCCAAACACATCTCCAATTCTGGCAGCCCGTTCCATGCCCACAGCCCTCTGGTGCAGAACGTGTCCCTAAGCCCCCCTGCCCCTCCCCTGACACAGCTCCATGCCATTCCCTCAGGCCCTGTCGCTGAGCTGTAGGCTGCCATGAGGCCTCCCCTCAGCATCTCTGCACTGGGCTGAACACACACAGGGACCTCAGCCGCTCCTCATGCATCTTGGCCTCTAGACTCTTCATCATCTTTTAGCCCTCCTTTGGTTGTTCGCAGATAGTTTTATGTCCTCCTTATCATGCGACAACCAAAGCTGACTTTCCAATGCCCTTCAGACAAACAAAGCTCTCAGGGAAGTACAGATAAAATGAATTTGAGCTATTTCTTTGTACTTTCTATTCTGGACTGTTTTGGATGCTGTTCCATTCCTAGTATAACTTACACTGTAAAGAAAACTGAGGAAAACTGCAGGGTATAACAGCTGTTATGGATTACAGTATTGATGTCCACATCATTATGAACCCCTCCTTGTTCTGACAGACTGCTGCAATACAGAGTGTAGAAGCAGCATTCCCTACTGAGGAGCTTTGTACCATCTACAAAATACTTAAAATCAAAGTTTGCCACTTACTGGAGTCAAGGCTTTTACAGTTTGCTACATTCTGCCACAGAGGAGTGTTAAATTCACCCGCTGAGTTGATTTTGGCCAGAAGTTCTACTAGTCAGAAGTCTACTAGTTGAGTTTCTCTTTTTGCATTTTCTGGATGCTGTCATACCATTCCTGTATTTCTTCTGGGAACATCCATGTTTAAGAGAAATAATTTGGCTTTCAGTCTGCAATCAGAGGAAAAATTTGAGTATTTGAAGTATTTCTGAAGCCTGGGCACAATAAACTTTGTTCTATCAAATCTTGTAATTTAAATGATCTCATCTTAAGTGCTGTAACATTTCCTGGTTGATCAAGCTGTGGAAGGGCAATGGGATCGTTGTACACATTTTTTTTTATACACCCAGTTCATATTTTACATTCCACTAACATAATTCTTTCTGGGGAACTGCTAACATCTTGAAAACTGAAACAAATGGCTATTCTCTACAGCATTTCTCACTTTAGATGTATCTGTCTTAAGAAACTTGAGTGTGATGCTGTATTTATTAAAACAAACTTCTCTTTGTTCATTTTCTTGAATAAAACTGGATATAGAATCCCTTAATTAATTTTGCTGTGCAATAGAAAAACCATGATTGTCACAGCTTTGGGGCTATTTTTCATTTGCTCTGCAGTTTGCAGGATCGTGTCATAATAAGATTGCCTGTATTTCCTGTATTTTTTTTCTTTTTAATTTTTTTTTTAATATTATCAGCTTGTGCAAGTGGACTCCAGAGCTGTACATCTCGGTGCTGTTTTGGTTCGTGGCCTTACAACGTTGCTCATGGCCAATAGTGCCTGTGGCTTTCCATTCAGAATGGATGATTTGATGCCCTGGAAAGTGTTTGATGGAAAACTTTTTCAAGAAAAATACCAAAAGTCACACCAAAGTTGCTCTTTGGAAGAGCTTCTGGAAGGCAATGTGAGTAATTACTTCTTCTCAAAGAGTTTTGTATTCCTTGAAAAATGTACCTGTCCATAATTATTGTTGCACTGGTCTCCTTTCTTCATATTTTTCTTCTTTTCATTATTTTTATTTCATCCTTCGTGCCAAATGAACCATAGTAGGATAGAAATACTGAGACTATGTGGAAAACTAAACATCTGCCTTTCTTTTGTTTCCAATACTCAGAAAACAATACAAGGAAGTATAAAAATGCTTGCCAATTTCAGAAAATGAAAGTTACCATAGCAGTTTTCTAGTACTTGTAAATACAGTGAGATCTTTCTGCTGCAAGACTTGAGGCAAAATTATAAGGGTATACATAGATCATCTTATTAGGTATAACTTACTGTATAATCAAAGAATATTAAGATATTATGATTACAAAATAAGAGAGTTAGGCAAATCAAATTATAATAACAAAAGGAGAATAGATAGAAAGCTTACCCATGTCCTGGGCTCACTTACAAATCTCCAGCAGAGTAGATCTCCAGAAGAGACACTTCCCAATTCATAGCCAGCTCTTAAATAGGTCTAGTAGAGGTGAAGCCAGGCTCCACCCCTTCCAGCAGCACAGGTGAATTGCCTTCACCTGTGCTCCTGTGGCTGACTCATTGCTTGCCTCAGGTGATCAATCAGAGGTTCAGGCCACGACTCAGCAGTTCCCATACACTTACAAAGCACATAAGAGGGATATTTTAAAGGTATTAAGGAACTTAAAATTTGAGATGGAGGTTTAGTGAATTCCAGAAGGTACAGGAATCCAGAGGAGGGTATCATCTAGGCATTCTTTTTGCAGAATCTCACCATGTACATTGTGTTTTCTTGTACCTTTAAGTGCTTAACACTTGATCTCATTTTTCAGAAGCTGGGGGCTCTTACAATTTTCTTGCCACGTTACCTAAAAATTGTATAATTTAAAACATGTCTGTATTGACTTGAGCAGACAGATATCAGTAGTCTTGCTTGGTATGGGCCATGGTGATGCATTAAGGTGATACCTTAGAGGTAAGGTCTGCTTGACAAAGTGCAAGGCTGTATTAACCTCAGGTGAGAACTGCCTTATGCCCCACCAACACAGAATATGTGGAGAGGAGATTAGGTACATCTATACTCACCTGTGTAGATAGCTCTTGAAACCTTAAATTCATGCCTCTATTTTCAATGTTGAACACATAAGATTTAATTATTTCTGAAAGCTTTAGTTATAAAATAGCTTTTTTGTGTTATTGCATCTGTCATGTGTGGTTAAAACAAATGTTATCATAGAGAAATGAGTTTTATTTTTTGATAATTTCAATCTTGTGCATTTTGTATCAGTTTTACTGTAGTTTTCTTGTCCATTTCTGTGTTTAATTAGTTTGCATCCTAATCTGCAGTGATAGTGGAATGCATGTAGGTGGTGGATTGTAGATGATAATCCTTTCCATGTGGAGTCAGTTGTATGATTAGGACTATCACCTCCATCCAAACCCTGTGGCTCCTACGGATCATAGAATCACAGAATCATAGAATTGCTCAGGTTGGAAAAAAGCCTTTGTAGAATCATAGAATAGCCTGGGTTGAAAAGGACCTCAAAGATCATCTGATTTCAACCCCCCTGCCATGAGCAAGGTCGCCAACCACTAAACTAAGCTGCCTAGAGCCACATCTAGCCTGGTCTTGAGTGCATCCATTCTCCTTCAAGATCATCAAGTCCAACCACAAGCTACCCATACTACCCTAACTCTAACAGCCCACCACTAAATTAAGTCCCTGAGCACCACATCCAAATGGATTTTAAACACATTCTGGGATGGTGACTCAACCACTTCCCTGGGGGAAGTCTATACCACTGCTTAACCACCCTTTCTGTAAAGAAGTTTTTCCTGATATCCAACCTAAACCTCCCCTGGCTCAACTCGAGGCCATCAATCTGTTGATTTCAGCAGATTTTTGATTGGGCCAGCAATTCATTCAGTATTTCCTGTAGAACTTTTGCAGAACAATAGAGGACTAAAGAATAAATTAAAAAATAAAAACAACACAACTTTACATACACCTTTGTGAAACTATTTCTTTTTCATTTGGGTTGAATTCAGATTAGTTAACAGCTTTTAGCATATGTGTACATCAATCTGAAAAACAAAAGAAAGATATTGACTGAGAGTAATTCTAAACTATATTAGCTGGTATGCTTTAGTTAACATTTGAAAATCTCATTATAACCAGATTGAAGTTCTATTTTAGCATGTCTCAGGAGGTGAGGACAGATACTTAGATCCCTAGAACACAGCTGGAGTTTTATTTGACCAACTAAAATATCTAGGATAGGATTTTAGAAAGCATGATACTCAAGTTTAAACAAATCCCAGATAAACTGTTCCGTCGGGAGAAAAAAAATAGCCCAGTACTGTTAATTTTAAATAACTTTTTTATTTTTTAGGTATGATATATGGCAGAGAGAGCTTCCAAACTAATAAAATAGCTTTCTAGTTTATCAGTTTGAAAAGCAAGAATCTGTTTTTGGGAGAATTGCTGAGAGATGCCAGTTCAGTTTAGCTGGGGACACTGGCAAGGCAACAAGTGTATGTCTATTACTATAAATTGAACTTAATAAATAAAACTGGTACTTAGTTCCTGGCAGAGCTTAATGTATCATTGGAAGCCAAAGTCTTTCAGCACTTGTTTGTTAGCAATCTACCCTTCAGCATCATAAATCTTACCTGTGGATAGCTACAGCACTGTATTTAGGGGAAAAAAAAAAGTTATTCTACATTGGTTTTGTTATTGTAAAGATAAATAAAAGGAAAAAGTTACTGCTTTGGTGTTCCCTGCTTGTTTCCTAACTCCTAGGATCTCTCTATGTATCTGGCCAGTTATATTACTTCAGGGAGTTCAGAAGATCTCGGAATCAGAATTGTTTTGATTATGATGGTTTAAATACATTTAATAACTTTATGGAAACTATGGTGGAAGCACCATTTTAGTTAAATATTTACATGTGCACAAGCACTTGTCAATGTTTTAAGGTTCGCTTACTTACATATTCTTTTGCTGAAGGAATAAAACATGTAAATTAAATGCAGTTAATATATTTGTGGGCAAGATGGTTTTGTGTGTTTGTTTCTTTTGTAATTCATCTCTACACAGCCTTAGAAAATTTTAAAGATAAAGAAAAAAAGCTGATAAGAATTGAAAATACATCCATCCTGTTTTTTAAAATATATATACTTAGTCCTTATTGCACTAGTTCTCTGTTTTTCATAGTAGTAATTATATTGGTTTATTTATCCACACAGAAAATTGGATATAATAGTCCCATAAAGCAGTGAGGCAATGATATTATCACTTCATTAGTCTTTTTATTGCACTTCTCAGGGTATGTTCATTATCTTTTTTCTTTTTTTAAATTAAAAACAAATTACCTACTGGGTCAGCATAAGTGATATGTTTTGGCCTTTTTTGATCATGCCTTTCATCCAGCCTTCATAAACACATCCTGAATTTGTTCTCTCAGTAATATATTGAGAGGATTTTCCAATTAGTGGTTATTAATACAGGGTTATTAATACAAAAAAAAACAAAAAAAAAAAGCTAAGAAAGAAGTTCATGAGGGAGTTCAGAGATTCAGACTCTTAAGAAACCTCTTCAGTTCCTCCAGTCCTGACACACGTTGGCTTTTTACCTTTTCCTGTAATCCTCTCTCATTCTTGCTGCTCCCTTTCCACCACATAGGTTACAAAATGGAATTGTCATCCTGCTAAAAATCAGTTCAGTTTTATGAAAATCACTAATTATGATGACGTTTTCATTCTTTTCAACGTGTGCAACTTCCCACGTAAATCAATAAGCAAAGAAAAAGATTATAGGATGTGACGCTTCTACAAAGCTCACTGAAACCTGTAAAGTTAGATATGTAGGTTGCTGCAAAAGTAACACCTCCTGTTTATTTCCATGGAAACTACAACAGATAGAGCACAATAGCTCTGTTTGGTGGAGAAGCTACACAACATTTTTTTTTTCAAAGTTACTACCATTAGCTGTGCTTTTTTGCCAGCAATGAACAAAAGCCTGCATGTTGCACTTGTAACAGTCTGTGGAAGTGACCCACTTGTGGAGGTGATCTGCTGTCACCACTGCTGAAACACACCAACCACCTCCTCACTGTGCTCACATCCACTGTTTGGTTTCCGTAAACATTCAGCAAGCATTAGTGAATCTCAGTGGGTGCCATTTTTATCTCGTGGAGAAATTCAGTCACACAGCTCCGCTTCATATGCACTTCCATGTCAGACACCATTTGGTGAGACTGCTCCTCTGCTGCCATCTGTCACACAGCAACAACATGTAATGGAATATTGGTGTGAAGGTTTGACCTCTGCTGCCATACCACCAATATCTGCCTCTGATATCAGGTGCCATCATAATAACATAGGAGACATTGCTTTCAGAGCAGCCCTCATGTACCACATCTTGTAGTATTGGGTCTTCAAATAGTTTTCGCTTGTCCTTTTGACAGCAGAACTTTTCAGCCCACAGGGTAAACAGTGATATTCAGTTCCTCCATGTCTCTAGATGAGGTTCCATTTTATCAGACAACAAATATCTGGAGTTAAGGCTGATGTATTACTATTGTGTTTGTAATGTATGAGAGTGAGATACTTTGATTTTTCACTCATTCATTCCACTTTGCCATGAGACTTTACCTGTCCCTCCCTGAGGTACTGCTGATAGACTTAAGCCTAGGTAGCAATTCAAAACAATAGAACATGGAAGTAAGTAATAAACAGATGTGAGCAGAGGAGAAAAACAAACATAACCAAAAGAGGAAAACACATTCCTTCTGCACCCCTAATAACCCCTCGAAGACTCCATTTTTAATATTAAACATTTCGTTTCCTAAAAAATGTGAACCAGAAAATCTTCACGTATGTATGAGTGTGGACTAATAAAATAATTTTGATTGCTATATTTGTAATTGATCTGTGCTACACCTGAAGATAGAAAGATAGAACAGCCATTAATGTTAATGCTGTTGTCTCCAGGAGTCTTTGTATACACCCTTCCAGAATCTGAAGTCGCTCATTTGCAAGGTTTGTGCGGTGAAGAAAAGAACAATACAGAGCAGACCAAGAGGAAGTGGATTTATCACAGGTTGGCATTATGTTAATTTTCTCAACCAAATCAACATGTTGATAAGTTCAGTTATCCTTCAGCTGCAACAGCATTTACCTAGGGAGCATGTCAAGCTAAATAAATCATAAGATTTTTCTCCAAGAAACCAAAGGAGAGATTTAAGAAAATGCCTCCTGCTTTTAGGAATTCTTGTGGATTGGATTACCCAAGTTTGGATAAAATATTTCCATCTAGTTACGTAGCTAGTGAGATACACACAGTAAATAAAATATTATTCACTGACAGAAACTACTGCTATTTGCTCAGTGACTAAAGTTATTTTTATAGGAAGAACTGAATGACAGGTTTTTTCTGCCTTTCCCTAAAGGGA